TTTTCTGTTTTGTTTTATACAAGTCAACACGAATGTGCAGGCATGTATCGTAGGTTGGGTTTGAGAAGCATATAAGGATAGAATATCACCGGAGAAAATCTACCACACTTTAAAAGTACGACATATTCACATTTTTTTGTTAGTATTTCTTATATAATTTTAACCTATTAGTTACCTTTATACCATATCATATTCAAATAATTTCTATAAGCAATTATTTATAATCATCTTCATCATCTAAATAATAGGTATACTTATTTTGTTTAGAAAACATGCCTACCAAATTAAATGTAAAGTAAGCAAGGTGCTTTTTTGTTTTTAATTTGGATTACTGATGTTAGCTTGGCCGCCCATTATTTATTGACAGATGTATTGGGTACAACATGAGGCTACACTACATTCATGGGTTTGTAATATGATTGCATAGTTTGAGAGACAATCCATCTGTGAGCATTTCATTTAGAGTGTGTGCGAGGCTCCACATAGCCTATTATGAATGCGATTGGATGGTTAAATATAATTGTGTAATAATTATTTTTGGCATGCGATGTATCATAAATACATGGTTGTATAATATATGTATGAGGAGGACCCGTAAGATATAATATGATATAATAGTAAAGCAAATTGTTGATTTGATTAAAAAAAACTAAAGCTGCTCAAGTGTATCTTAAATTAAATTTGTAGATCGTCTAAAATAATTGTTTATTTATAGCACCAAGATCACTCCTATTGTAAATCCCTAGCTCTTGCACGTTCACAACTAAATCAGTCTCCATGAGAAATAGATCTAATAATTTATGATGATAAATTATGGTGTACATGTATATCGTGTATTTAGAAAAAATAATCAGGAACTGGATGCATGCATCAATCGAGCACACCGAGGCCATATATAATTATCCTGCCTAATGTCGATGATAAATCAAGCAATCAAATAAATAAACGTTGCAGCTACCAGATGTAATTGTCCACGTACATGCATTGGGTCCACCGCTTTAAATGAAAATTGAAAATTGATGGTTAGATATTTTTCTTAGAATTTTCTTTAAATTATTAGAGCACCATGTGGCAGTTTAGGAGCGTTGGTAGGAGTCCACGTGACGGCTTAAGAGTGTTTGTAAGAAGTTTAATGGACTTTTAGTATATAATAATAATAGAAGATAGATAGATATTTTTATAGAAACAAGAAGTTAAAGTTATGTTTTGGACACCGTGTCGCTGTCCAAAACGACTTCCTTTACGAGTACGGAGGGAGTACGCCTCAGTTGAGGAGCGGTGGTTCCGCTTCCGCCTGCTATACACACTGCCTAACCTAAAAACGGCTCTAAAATCATTGATCATGTTCGTCACTTGGGAGCTTAATTTGGTGTGAGCGTAATGCTAGTGTATTCCGTTACATAGCTAGCACGCCCACTACAATCATTGCTGAGATAAAGGAAGAAGCAACGGCTTGGGTGAAAAGCGGGAGCGGCTAAGCTTAATTAGGAAGTTCATTGTTTTGGGAGATGTAGATTAGCTTGTCTTGTGTTCATGCTCTATTTATATATACGAGACAAAACTTTTACCCTTATTTTTTAAAAATAAAAATACTATTACTTACTAAAAATACTACTACTTACTACTTCATCTGTTTCGGAATATAAATATTTTTAAGTTATGTACGTACTTTTAATATCTTGGTGGCTAAATTTTAAATTGCTTATATTCTCATCCTAAATACATAATTGGCTAAAAAATATATGAATTTTGTGCATTAGAATCTGTGTTTAAAAATATTTACATTGTATATAATATCTAAATCTTATAAATAATTATATTTTGAAACGGATGGAACAGACGCTACTGTATTGATGCGAATACGGCTACTGTACTACTGTGCCCGTGGTCGCAAAAGTGGTCGCATTAGTTGAGCTAATTAACCACCACGTGACCTCACCTCAATTCGTCGGCCGGTGATATAACTGTAGATTAATGGACGACGACACGGTACAAACAAAAAACACACACAGACAATAATGCATATGCAATTATGCACAATTGCATACAAAAGGGCATGATCATGACCAATCACACAGTGTAACAATAGCAAATGCGTTAGGTAAACTCGTGATAAGGTAGAGTAATTAGAGCGTGAATTAGCACTGTTCTATCTGCTGGAGAGGTACGAGGCCAGAGTGCACATCTGTAGCCTGGATTAAGTAGAACAGGGGAAAATCATTGTGCTTGTGCTGTACTTTGCTGGCCCAGGAATGATCATGAAAAGTGATCAACACTGAGTAGCTCTCCAAGTACAAGAATGATCTGGGGTTAATTTCAGGCTAGCCTAGTGCCCAAGTTCAGGGCCCATTTGGAATGTGGAAAAATTTTTGGATAGTAAGTTTGTTTTAAAAGAATAATTATCTTTATCAGAGTCAGCTGAACCAGCAAATTTCTAGAGCGCACACAAATCTAACTACGTTGCGTGTTTGCAATCATTACGATACATTGGGCAGCTAAGGTTTGTGCCCTGTGCCTAGATACATAATTCTAATTATAATCTTGAAAAATACTATGTTATTTGTGAAAATATTTAAGCTCCTATTAGCTCATCTCTATACGTGACGAAGCTTTTCCGGCTCCGACACTGATTACAACTAGGGTTTTGTTTAGTTTGTGTGCTAATTTTTTTAAAGTATACGGACACATATTTGAAGTATTAAACGTAGACTAATAACAAAGTAAATTACAGATTCCGTTCGTAAACTGCAAGTTGAATTTATTAAGTCTAATTAATTCGTCATTAGCAAGTGTTTATTATAGCATAACATTGTCAAATCATGACGTAATTAGGCTTAAAAGATTTGTCTCGTAATTTACATGCAAATTGTGCAGTTGGTTTTTTTTTCATCCACATTTAATACTCTATGTATGTGTCCAAATATTTGATGTGACAGAAAAGTTAAAAGTTTGACGAAAAGATTTTGAATGTAAACACGGCATAGGACGTGCTCGTGTAAACTCCAACGTGAATTTACTGGGATATTGCGTATTCCGTGTCTCCCATACCCACACAAGGAGTCAAAACAATAAAAAAATTGCGTGTCACAATCATATGGTAGCCAAATTTTGTTTTTTTTAATAAAAAAAAGAGAAAATCGGAGGTGATGAAGTGTTATATATTATCTGATGATAACACAAAAATTACGTTACGTGTTTGATGACAAGACCAAGAGATCTGGGGGCCATATTCATCCCTAACATAAGTTAATGTGCGGGTTGGAAGATCAGCTTTGCAAGATCATCTACTCACTTAGTTCCCAAATACTATAAGATTTTGAGTGGATGGGATGCATATCCTAGTACTAGAATCTAGATAGGCTTATCTAGATTGATGCGCCACATCCACTCAAAATTCCTTATATTTTGGAACGGGGTAGTAAATATAATGTCTCATGCAAAATGAACAAACTTTGATATTTTGTGAAAAATGAAAAACTTTGTAGCGTTGTATTAGAAATATGAGCCTTCTTTACAACATACTAAAAAAAAATTACCCATCACCGCAGGAATCAAACTGTTCTTTTTAATTTTTGTAAAAATCTGCAAAATTTCTGTGAGTTTGCTACGCTTGCAGTGATGCCATAGTGTTTTTAGGAAGTGACAATAATTATGCAAGGGAAAAAACTGTAGAATTTTCTATGTTTTTTTACAAAATATTTCGATATTTTCGCTTGTACATGCAAATTAGCAATTTATTTAAGAGTAATGTGCTAATAAATCAACAACATTTTTGAAAAAAAAAAGTGTGTGAATCTATCTAGTTTCTGTTGCCTACCGTAAATCATTTTCTGCATGAACCTGAGGCGTACAAAGTTGGCCTAGCTCTGAAAAAAATCTACTTTTTTTCGCGGGGAAAAAGAATTAAAGGATGCACTTTTGGAACATGCCACGATAGATCTACTTTGTTTCCCAACCACTCTAACCAAAATGATTGTCCTTTCCTTTCAGTTCACTCCTTTACACCAATGTAACATCCAATCTTAATCTTATCAAGTGTTCAGTAAACACTAACACCACATAAAGTCCCAACCACTTGGTTTGGTAGGCCTTGCTAAAATGTCTAATCACTTTTCAATTAGATTAATTCCTGCATCGTCATGATAAAGACCAGATCTCACCAGACTCTGCAGCCCTGTAATTAGCATTAGTCATTACTTTTTTTTCCTGAAATCATTTACCTCAAATAATCTTCCATTGTTTTCCTTCATGGAATAATTTTGTGTTCATGTCGTTCAACTGGTGTTATCATTAGCAAGCACAGTACTACACTTAATCATCAATTAATGAAACATTCCATGAACTGAAAAAGGAACAGGCTGTGATGCTGGACATATTGGGTTAGCATTAAACCCACTCGAGTGATTAGCTTTGCTTTCTTTGCAAGCTCAATTAGTTGGTTAATCGCATTCATTGGGGTAACCGGTAACCTCTCAAATCTTTTTCAGCAACAGAAGGCACAAGAAAACAGTGTCCCTATATTCTGGCGACACAAAATCCATGCAAACACAAAATTCATGATTGATTTTGTAGTGGATCAACCTTGCCAATTTTTTTGTAAATTCGATTTTTCATGATGTGCAAGTGGTTAGCTTTAATTGAAGTAAATGTTGGGTTTAATATCCGTTAAAAAACTAGGAAACGAATAACGGTGTAATTAACCATTAGGCAGAATTGCTTCGATATTATCTTCTTAGTTATTATATATCTGAAAAATTAGGAATGAAAATTCCAAGCCGACACCCAACATATCTACAAGATAGGACATTGCATTCGCATCATTTAAAACAGAGCAACATCATCTCTCCAGTACTTGCACCCATCATCCACCACATCCATCTGATATAACTCTCGATATATCTCTATCTCCAACAATTAATAGATACCGCAATTAACAAAAATCCCAATCCAATAACCCCCACCAAAAACTAATTAATCTCTGACATCCATAATGTCTGCAATTAATCAATCTGTTAATCTGTTATTAGTAGTTACTACTAACAATTATAGAGTATATTAATTAATTTAAGCTAAAAAAATGGGGCCCACAAAGCAGAGGAAGAGAACCCATCCATCCAACCATTCATAAAATCTATCTAGAATTCCAACTTAACACCAAATCTATTGGTCTCTTGTCCTCATCACCAAACCCCATCTTCATCGTCGTCATCTTCAACCCCCATCCCCATATCTTCCTTTGCCTCTCCTTCAAGCATCATCACCAAGTAAAAAGAGAAAAAGAACCCATAAATTTGAAGAATTTTAGCTTCATTCAAGAACTCGATCGAGGAGGGCCAAGAAAGGTGTGAGACCTTGATTTGGTCGCCATGTCGAGCCCCATGCATGTTCGCAAGGCGATCCACTTCGTCTCCATGAAGGCCAAGCTCCAGAGCTTCGGCGGCCTCCGCCTCCTCCTCGTCGGCTGCCTCGCCGCGCTGCTGCTGCTGTTCGCCGTCAGGACGCTGTCGTTCACGACGTCGTCGGCGACGGCGACGGCGGCGAGGGAGGCGGCGGAGGCGGGCTGCGGGAAGCTCCCGGCGGCGGTGGCGCAGGCGATGGTGCACTACGCGACGGCGAACGTGACGCCGCAGCAGACGGCGGCGGAGATCGGGGTGTCGCTGCGGGTGCTGCAGCTGCGGGCGCCGTGCAACTTCCTGGTGTTCGGCCTGGGCCTCGACAGCGCCATGTGGGCGGCGCTCAACCACGGCGGCCGCACCGTGTTCCTCGAGGAGGACGCGTCCTGGATCGCCTCCGTCAAGGCGGGCCACCCGGGGCTCGAGTCCTACCACGTCGCCTACGACACCCGCGTCACCGACGCCGATGAGCTCATCGCCCTCCGCCACGAGCCGGCCTGCACGTCCCAGCCGGACCTCGCCGCCGCCGCCGCCGCGTCGTGCCGCCTCGCCCTCCGCGGGCTCCCGCCGGTGTTCCACGAGGTGGAGTGGGACCTCATCATGGTGGACGCGCCGACGGGGTGGACGCCGGAGTCGCCGGGGAGGATGGGGGCGATCTACACCGCGGGCATGGCGGCGCGCGCCAGGACGCCCGGGGCGGGCGCCACCGAGGTGTTCGTCCACGACGTCGACCGCCACGTCGAGGACACCTTCTCCAAGGCGTTCCTCTGCGACGGCTACCTCGTCGAGCAGGTGGGGCGCATCCGCCGCTTCGTCATCCCCAGCCACCGCGACAAGGACGGCACGCCGTTCTGCCCTTGATGAGAGATGAGCTTCGCCTTCGCCTTCGCCGCGCACATGGACACCGTGATGACACCATTGCCATCGTCGTCTTCTTCATCTTCTTCATCTTCTTCTTCACATATGACACCACCATTGCTGCCGTCATCGTCTTCTTGAATTCACATGTCTTTTGTGATGATCAAGGATAAGTAGGATGATGAGTGCACCTTTGGGATCATGCACCAATGGAGGCGGTGGCGCGATGCGTGTGAGCCGTCGGATCGAGAACGGACGGTTCGGATCGGACCGTGGAGATATTGTTATTATATATAGTTTCTTTTTTTTTTCAAATGCAGCTTTTTCTTTGTTGTTTTTTTTATGGACGGTGGGTGAGATGGATATGCAGGCGAATTATAATTCTTGGCTATTTTTCATAGATTATCGTTGTGTTTCTTTTTAATTCATAATTGAGATATCATCTTCAGTGGGTGACTGATGAGTGGTGCCATTTGAGATTCCTATCTACTGAAGCAATAATGCTAAGATAGAAACTTACATAATTTGTTGAGAAATGCAGTTGATTTTTAGATGATTAACAATTAATGTGGCAGAAGTGAGGGTGTGAAATTAATACTCTACTCACTTTAAACAGAAGAGTAGAGTACTAGTACCATTCAACTGCACTACTACTACAGTACTATCTTTGCACAAGCTGATGTGTGAGAGGAGGGTGTGACCTGATTTTGATTGCCTATTGGAATACCTGGAGTACATTGCCTTTTGCCAAGGCTGTGACATGCTTGGCATTTTGTAGGCAGGACATTGATTTCCTGGCACATGGCCCAAGTATGATGAACTAGTACCATGAATATGAAGTCACCTTGGGAGATGGGCATCAACATATGAACTGCCGAAGACTTGACAATCGTCCTATGCTGTGTAGCAGCACAACCCTTTCTTCTGGGCAAGTGCATGGCTCTGATTCAACAAGTGTATTTTCTCTTTTTATATATACTAGCAACATGTCCGTACATTGCAACCGATAAACGACTACTTTGGCTATGATCGCAAGTAAAGGATTTCAACCTTCACTTCCTAGAGTTTCTGAACTACTAAACAGTTTTTTTCTTTTTTTTTTTTGCAAAAGTTTTATAAGAAAGTTGTTGTAGAAAAAACTCATATTAATCTATTTTTCTAAATTGTTTAACTAATACTCCCTCCATCCTACTGTAGGTGCAGTTGCTAGCTTTTATGTGTAACGTCTGATTGTCTGTCTTATTTGAACTTTTTTATAATTAGTATTTTTATTGCTATTAGATGATAAAACATAAACTTATTTTTTTATTTTTTATATTTTTTTTAAATAAGACGGATGGTCAAATGTTGGATAAAAAACCCACTACTATATGTAAAATGGGACGGAGGGAGTAATCATGTGTTAATAAGTAATCTTGATTTCCGTTCACGAGGTCCCTACCTCTCCTTCCGATTTCCGAACACAGGCTTCGTCTCCTCATTGGGAACCTCACTGTTTGTAAGGTAGGGTTTATAAAATCATACGGTTATCGTGGTTACCATGCGTGGTAACCTTTTTATTTTTTAAAACCACAAAATGTCTCGTGGTTACCATGCCGATCTTACCGTGGATGTGTGGTAACTGTGCCAAAAACGATAAGAGAAACCATGTTGCGAGGTCAACACCTTTTTGCCGCACGTCTTTGGCACCGTCCAGTTCGTCGTGAACGTAAGATAGTTAGCTCAGAGCTCATCTTGATTACTACTAATTAATCTCATCAGTGTCATCACGTTGCTTTCTTGCGTGTGCAGAGGTGATCACAGCAACGACGGCGATACTGCTTGGATGGCATGAAGTGGCCGAACGGTCTCGCCGAGCTCTACACAGAGCACACCGGGACGTCCGCCGTCTTCGCTGCCTTACCACATCGTCATTGATACTACCTCGTCATTTTTAATAAATGATACCATTAACTTTTTATCACACATTTAGCCATTCGTCTTATTAAAAAAGTTATGTAACTATAATATATTTTGGTGTGAGATTTTTTATCACTCAAGATACTTTAAGCAAAATTTATATATTACGCATTTGCGTAAAATTTTTTAATAAGATAAATTGTCAAATATGTGTTCAAAAGTTAACGGCATTATCTCTATCTCTACTACTTTGAAAATAAGAGATGCTTCCATCATTCGTCAAAAAACCGGTCAAAAAAACCGGGCGAAAAAACCGTAACTGTCCGATAAAAAAGGCAAAAAAAAATCCGATTCCGTGAAAAAGAAGGGCGCCAAAAAAACCGTCGTAAAAAACCAGACGAGCGAGAAAAACCGTAACTGTCTGATGCAAAAAAAAAAAATTAATCCTTCGTCCGTCAAAACAAAAAAAATTAGCGAAAAAATTAAAAAAAAAAGTCCGACTCCTATCCGATTCCCTCTCAGAAACGAAAAAAAGTCCGACTATAGATCCGATTCCCCCGAAAACTAAAAGGTGCCACTCCTTTTGAGTCCGAGATACCAGCCACCACTCCTCTTAGATCCGAACGGAAAAAAAATCTGATTCCTATAGAAGGCAAAAAAAAAGTGGTGAAAAATACACTAGATTCGATTCCTTTAAAAACGGGAAAAAAAAAGTCTGATTCCTATAAAGGCGAAAAAAACTGAAAAAACATCTTAAAAAAGTTCATCCGATCCCTAAGAAAGTGGCGAAAAAAATGGTTCGTAAAAAATAAAAAGTTGGTTCATACAAAATAAAAAATGTACACGAGAAAAAAATGGAAACAACGAAACAAAGTCTGATTTCTAATCAATAGATATCTCTTCTCTATCTCTAATATAATCTAACTATTTAAAAAGAGAAAATACACGAGAAAATAAAAACGATTAAAAAAACGCGTGAGAAAAAAGTCAGAAAAAAGCGAAAAAAACACGCTAAAAAGGTTTTCCATCTTCCATAAAAAAAATAAAAAAACACACGAGAAAAAATATTTCCATCGTCGGTAATTTTTTTAAAAAAAAGACATGCGAGGAAAAAAAACTGGTAGAAAAACGCTCCGTTTCTTAAAAAATGGTTTTAGAAAACGGCGCAAGAAAAAAACAGCTTCTATTAAAAAAATCGCTCTAAGAAAACTGTCAGAAAAAACGTTAAATCGATGGACGCTTGAGTCGGATAGGATCCATCAATTTTTTGCCACCTACTACATGGCTTTTATTCGTCATATATTCTCCTGCATTGGAAAAAAGAAAAAAAAGAACATTTGAAGAAAAAACAAGCAAAAAAACGCGTGGGAAAATAATTGTAAAAAAAGGCAAAAAACACATGAGAAAAGAAAAGCAAAAAGGGGAGAAAAATATGGTTTTCGTTGTAAATAAAAAAGCAAAAAAATGCTTAAAAAACTTTTAGAAAGAAATGCGCCATTTCTGAATGGTTTGAGAAAATCACGCAAAAAAAACACCGTTTATAAAAAAAAACAAGCCGCTCATTAAAATACAAACATTGTCATTGACATGACTATTCATGAAAAACGTATATTATCATTAGAATTTTTTCACCCGTTGCAACGCACGGGTATTTTTGCTAGACTATTAAAAAACAGAGAGTGTATATTTTTTAAAAAAATATAGTTCTCTGATAGAAAAAAATATAGTTCACTGATAGAAAAGATAAACAAACATCAAAACATGCAATTAATATGGAGAAGATACACAAACAACAAGTAAAAGGAAGGACACAAACACCGAAACAGTACTGTCATCAATTACGTTGTCTAGCTTGCCATGGAGATACGACCGTGTGCGGCGGCTGTGGCATCCGGCAGCGGTGCGTACGACTTTGACATGTCATTGGAGGTGGCCAACAGGTTACATCGCCCGTACCGTGCTGATAAAAAAGGTGGTTTGCGCTGCCTCGTCCCTGTCTATCGACGAGGTGGCGATGGTGGAGGCTCAATCGGGTGGGTGCTCTTTCGTACGCTGAGGCGCCCGTGGACGGCTGGGCTACCATTTATGTCGAGGCCCATGACCCGTCGTAACCGGACGAACATACACCATAGTGAAATAGTGTTGAATCTCTACTATTATAAAAACTAGCTGGGTGGCCCACGCAATTACGTGGCTAGCACCCAAACAAAATCATATATTTTTAGTATGATTTTAATTAAAATTTATTAAATAGCTATATCATTGTCTTAAGACTTTGAAAAACCAAACCTTATCATCCCCGTGTTTTTAATTTTATAGGTTTTTAAAAGTCACACCAGTTGCTACCTATTATGTTATTTCTTTCTTTATTTGCTTGCTTGATCTACCACTATTTCTAATCATTCTCCTTAGAATCTTTAAAAATTGGATCTTATAGTTTTTAGAGTTTATTGTTACGTTGGGTTTTGTTTTTATAATTTCTATACGTCCCATCAAACGTTGCCATTATACTCCTCTATGGCCTGTTCATTGTCTCTTTTCTTTATTGTCATTGAGATTTTAAAAATCAAACATAATTATCGTTTGGGTTCATTTTTACTTTCTAAAAGTCCCGCCAAACCATCAGCGACTTTGCCATTGTACTTCTCTACGGCTCGCCCGCTGCCTCCCTTCTTTATTGTCATTGATATTTTAAAATCGAACATAATTATCATTTTTTTTACTTTTTAGGAATTCCGAACCTTTAAAATTGGACCTTGTAGTTTTTAGAGTTTATTGTCTTGTTGGGTTTCATTTTTTATAATTTTTAGAAGTCTCGTCAAACGATGCCACTATGTTCCTTCTACGGCCCATCCGTCGCCTACTCTTTATGGTCATTGTGATTCTAAAAATCGAACATAGCTATCGTTGGAATTCATTTTTTATTTTCTAGAAGTCCCGTCAACCATCGGCGGCTCTGCAACTATACTCCTATACACCCGCCCGCTGCTTCTCCTTTTTATTGTCATTGAGATTTTAAAAATTGAATATGATTATCAATGGGGTTTATTTTTTTACTTTCTAGAAGTCCCGGCAACCACCTTACTCGTTTGCTTCACGGTATGCTTATCGTCACTCCTTTTAATCGTCATTAGGATTATATTTGGTTTATTAACAGTTTTTATATGTCGTATCAACCGCCACCACTCTACTCCTTTATAGTCCTGTTACTTAATTTATCTCGTCATGTGTTTTAGATGGTCTTTTCTTTCAATAGTCTTTATTTTTATCACAAATTTTAGTTATTTATAAATTGTATTCCTAATTGAAATCTTATTTTTCTTTTTCTAATTTCAGAATTTATTTTTCAAATTTTAATTAATATCGTATTGTGTTATTTTAATATTCTTATTTTTTATTTTCAATTTCAGTTGCTTCAAAATTGTATTCCTACTTTAACTCTCTTTTAGTTTTTCTAATTTTGGATATTATTTTATTTTTATTCTAAATTTTAATTAATCTCGTATTGGGTTCTTATATGGATTCTTCTTTTAATATTGCTTATTTTTAATTCCGAATTTTAGCTAAATTTAA